TCTTGATTTTATGATGTTATTGATGTTTTTTGTATCACTCATTATTACTTGATGGTTTGGCATTATCCTGATACATTCATGCCAATAATATTGAATGAAATTGAGCTGTCACACTGTGACGGACAGAAGAAGGAGACCCAGGTTGTTACCAGCTGGTGTTTATTGCTTCTTTCAGCTGTGATTGTTCTACCGATCACAGAAAGACATGCTCCATGAGCCGGCCCCCCTCCAGGTCCGGGGACAGGACTCTGGTCCCGCTCTGCTCCAGCAGGACGAACAGCACGGCCCGGCTCAGGTCGGCCCGGTTCAGCTCGGAGCACCGAGACGCCACATCTTCCCAGACGTCCATCGAAGAGCCGCCGTCCTGCAGCATCGCCTCCTCCAGAGCTCCTGAGAGGACGGAGACACAGAGAGGTTGATGTGTTCAAAGGAAATATCACAAGGAGAGGTCTTCTTTATACAGTGGATCCAAAAGACAAGGCAAGGTGAGAGACAGACAGGTGAGAGACAGACAGGTGAGAGACAACAACCAGGAGGACACGCCACCAGTCCTGGGAGACAGACAGGTAGAGAGGGAGATAGAGGTGAGAGACAGACAGGTGAGAGACAGACAGGTGAGAGACAACAACCAGGAGGACACGCCACCAGTCCTGAGAGACAGACAGGTAGAGACAGACAGGTGAGAGACAACAACCAGGAGGACACGCCACCAGTCCTGGGAGACAGACAGGTAGAGAGGGAGATAGAGGTGAGAGACAGACAGGTGAGAGACAGACAAGTGACAGACAGACAGGTGAGAGACGGACAGGTGAGAGACAACAACCAGGAGGACACGCCACCAGTCCTGAGAGACAGACAGGTAGAGACAGACAGGTGAGAGACAACAACCAGGAGGACACGCCACCAGTCCTGAGAGACAGACAGGTAGAGACAGACAGGTGAGAGACAACAACCAGGAGGACACGCCACCAGTCCTGGGAGACAGACAGGTAGAGAGGGAGACAGGTGAGGGACGGACAGGTGAGAGACAGACAGGTGAGAGACAGACAGGTGACAGACAGACAGACAGAGACAGACAGGTGAGAACAACAACCAGGAGGACACGCCACTAGTCCTGAGAGACAGACAGGTAGAGATTGAGACAGGTGAGAGACGGACAGGTGAGAGACGGACAGGAGAGACGGACAGGTGAGAGACGGAGAGGAGAGAGACGGACAGGTGAGAGACGGACAGGTGAGAGACGGACAGGTGAGAGACGGACAGGAGAGACGGACAGGTGAGAGACGGAGAGGAGAGAGACGGACAGGTGAGAGACGGACAGGTGAGAGACGGACAGGAGAGAGACGGACAGGTGAGAGACGGACAGGTGAGAGACGGACAGGTGAGAGACGGACAGGTGAGAGACGGAAATTGTTTGGGCCCAGTGGCATCACGTAGCTGACATGGAACAGAACAGAAGCAGCTTTCAGAGTGAACCTGCAGTCAGAGTGGTGTTAGTTCACCTTGTCCTCTGCTGACACAGCTGTCCAGGAGCTGCAGAGCGAGCTGCTGCCGCTGAGGGTCGTCCAGCAGAGAGGAACAGGACACACCCAGCGACAAGATGGCCGCCCGACCCTGCTGAGGCGCCGTCAACAGCTGGAGGAGGACGAGGCCGGGCGAGAGATTCAGAACCCACAAACAGTCCTCTGAGAAAGAGAGGGAGAGATTCAGATTCAATAACAGAGATGAACTTTGTGCATTTGTCAGCATTGTCAGAAGATATCATACATTTACTTTTTATATTGTTTTAAGCCACATTTTTACCGTAAACATTTGACATCTGGATATTAAGTTATTAGAGAAACAAGTAGCGCAAACGTCATCGGAATCCGAACAGCATCCGAGATACACTGACTTTCAACATAATACCACGTTATTCACTGTTTAAGTCAAATGTAAAACCTCTTGAACCATGAAGTAATCCAAACCAGGAGAAGCTGAAGACTACATCTCCCAGGATCCAATGCTGCTTCCCCACCACACCAAACTACAGCTTTTACTATTGTTTTCTTTCACACCGACCTGCTGTGAGGTCCTCGCAGTGGTTCATGAAGTCTGCGGCGCTGTGGATCAGGCCTCTGCTGCACATGCTCAGTGCGGTCTTCCTGTGCAGTCTGCAGGTGGTGTAGACATCAGTCGCCAACGCCAGACAAACATTGGCCACGCCCGGGTTCTTCTTAGCGTGCTCAGTCAGGACGTCGCCCAGATCCTCAGAGACAGTCAGTCTGCGATGATGAGGAGCGTGACGAGCCGAGCAGCAGCAGAGATCATGGAAACATTTTTATTATTTGTGTTTACCATTTTGGCTTCGCTCCATTGGCTGCCAATACATTTTAGGATTCATTTTTTAAATCCTTTTATTTGCTTTTAAATCCCTAAATGGCGACCCCACCATATCTTTCTGAGCTGCTACACCCTTACACGCCCAACCGCCCTCTCAGGTCAGCGGATCAACTGCTCCTGAATGTGCCCAGAACCAGGTCTAAGCTCAGAGGGGGCCGTTGCTTCTCGGTAGAGACTCCCACACTGTGGAAGGATCTGCCCCTGCACATCAGACCGGCCTCCACACTGCCTGCTTTTAAATCGCTTCTTAAAACCCACCTCTTCTCCTTAGCGTATTGACATATTTTAAAGCGTTACATTTATTGCATTAAAATTGTTTACAGTTTTTTACTTGTACTTGTTTTATGGTGTGTGAGCTGTGTGGTTTTTTGTATGTTGCGTTTGTTTATTTGACTGTACAGCACTTTGGTCTGGAGGTTTTAAAGTGCTTTATAAATAAAACTGTATTGTACCTGTTGTTGTTGATGCTGTGGGTGACGAGCTGCGTGTTGCCGTGCTGCAGGGCGCAGAGGACGAGCTGCAGGGAGAGAGCAGCCGGCAGCCATTGGCCGGGCGGGGTCGTCATCAGGAGGGCCTGGAGGAAGAGGAGGAGAGGGGGGGGGGACCCCGGGGGCCCCTTCACACCTGGGAGACAGACGGGGGTTTTAAACATGGGCAAACATGAAGGGAATATGAGCATTAAGATGGAGAGAATGTAGTTAATTGGCAGTGAGTAAGAGAAAAACAGGTCTAGTGGCTTTAAAGCACATGGGTCAAACTCAAGGCCCGGGGGCCAAATCAGGCCCTTGGTGGATTTAATTTCGGCCCACAGGATAATTTCTAATTACTATTAGATCTGGCCCGCCGGTATATTGCACGCACACCTTCACTCCATCCTGAGGGTCTCCTCCGCTCAGAGCCTGAGCCCAAACATTGATGACCTTGCACCCAAGATGAGATGCCAAGTATCTGGCTTGAACTAGCATCACAGAGCAGCACACTGAGTTTAATGGATGCTTCCTTCTGCACTTTGTTTCTTGTGACAGCAGGGCATGTTTGGTTTGTTCTTTGAGGGAAATAGTTTTGTTGAAACTGTTGTTGGCCTGTGGAAAAATGTACTGTAGAAATGACTCAGAAAAGCTGCAGATAGAGCCATAAGAAATGAATGCAACTGATTATTTAATGTTTAATGTTGTTTTTATAGGCAATAATTTAAGCTTTGTTAGTTCCAGGTTTAATATGTGCAATAAGTTCATTTCAATAAGTTTTGCAATAAACATTGAACCTGTCCGGCCCTCGACTAGCACACATTTTTTAATTTTGGCCCACTGTGTATTTGAGTTTGACCCCCCTGCTTTAAAGAGAGAATAGTAGCAGCTTTAGTTCCCCGTCAGAAAGGGCTGTCTGACTTGGACAGCAGATATTATCATCTGATTTGATCTAATGAAAGATGTCTTGGTTTGACTTACAGTACTTGTCCATCAATTAGCACCGAGATGTTTGAGGACACCATTTCAAATCTGTATAACCATTACATCAGCACTTGTTGCATGATTTAATAACCGGATTTTAAAGGGACCATTATGCTAAAAAACTGTTAACAAGCATTTTAAAACACTTTTTTTTAAACGTTATATTTAAAGCTGCACTTAAACCTTAAAGTGTGTGTAAAAGAATAAATGGAAATCAGGAAGCCATTTCAAATAACGAAGAACATTTGTATTATTATATCAAGTTTGTATTCACCACCGTTTTACATGAAATCATTTATTTTATTAGGAGCTTTGTTTATACTTGCATCCTTCAAAGAGATCAACAGTGATACGTTACAACAGAAATACAATGTCATGTCCCCCCATTAGTTGTTGACTTGGCTAATTCATATTCCAATGAAATGACATATAATCAATAAAGGTTGCACACACACTTCATACAGTAATCAAACAATTAAGCCATTAACATGGGACCCAACATGAAAACAACTAATAGCACACATATCAATAAACATCAGACATAATTAAAAAGTTAATGTAATCATACATATTGCCAACATTTTAAAGGTCACCTATCGTGCTATTTGTCGGCAATAGCATAGGTCTCAGATATATACAAATATATAAAAAACATGGCTATGAAGTGTTTTGCTCAAAATACCAAACAGATCACCCATTCTAGCCATGCCTCATATCCCTCTATTCCACTTCCTGTTTCAAAAGTGCTGATTTGGGGTATAAAGCTTTAAAAAAAAAAAATGTATACAAAAAAAAGGAGGGGTCTGAGCTCATTCGGGACCCGGCAGCTACTGTCTAAACTAAATGCTGCCGTGATGAAACGCCATATCATGGATTATCAAGGATTCTCTCTGAAACAGTTTGGAGCTCAAAGGCTTTCTCTCTTGCCGGTTATACCACAAGGTGAGTTCCTTTTTACTTCCTGCTTCTTCACACACATGCTCTCCAGTACAGGTTAGCTCTGAGTGTTAGCCATGCTAATGTAAACACCGACCATATTACGTCCAAAACAGTCGGGCATTGTTTCTGATAGCAACGTTTCTGATTGGGCCGTGGGTCCACATTTCAGATATTACGTCATATCGGACGCAAATCTGGATCAGCTCCGTTGTAGCCCGTTTTTAGAGATTTAGGTACGGAGGAAAAGAGAGAGGGTTTTCCCAACACATTTTTATGTATAAAAGACATCAAAAAGTGCATTTTGCATGATAGGTCCCCTTTAAGAGAAAAATGTTTTGAGTATTCTTTGGTACTGAGATCTAACGTTACAAAGTGAAGCGATTTGGTATTAATAAAATAAAACATTATTTCTGAGAGCATTTTTATCCTAATTTATAAATCCATAATCTCAGAGATTATCAGAGTATTTTCCTAGTCAAATTATCTTGTTTTTAATAAATATAAATGATTAATTTTAGATAGAATGTTGTTTCTCTCTAACAATATATTTTCTTGACAATTTGTGTTTTTTTTTCACGGAAATAAAAATATTAATCCTCTGAGTTTTTTCTGGCAGTTTTATTATTACTTCAATCTCGGAAAATCTTCTCTTCCCCAATCCATAGTTTATTTCATGTTTATCTACAATGGTCCTAATATGGCATCATTTAAAATGAATTGTACCAGCTGTACATTCAATGGATTAACATTATAACATTCTGCAATGAATACTTTTACTTTTGGTACTTTACATATATATATTTTTTAAATGTAATTTTACTTAAGCGTGATTTTGATTGCAACATTCGATGAGAGTATGTCCACTCAGTGTATTTCTATTTCACAGTAGGAAGTGGAGTACAAACACCACCTTCAAGCTGAAGACTCAGACCTTCTGTTGTGTCAGCCGACCTTCAGTGGTAAAATCTTAAGGGGGTGTTTATCCACAGTGCAAATGTACGGAAACAGCCTCTCAGTGAAAGTGTGTGTGAAGGTGTGTATGTGTGTGTTGGTGTCAGGATCAGAGAATGAAAGCTTTCCTCTGTCCCAGTCCAGATTCACTCTGATCCTCTGCAGCTTCTTCCTGAATACGAGTTGAGAGGGTGGAGCTGGTAGTGACAGTGCTGAGTATTCACCTTCACCGAACCATAATGTCCACAATCCAGACTGTATGTCTCTCTTCCTCGGGACAGACTCTGCTAACACACCCAGAATCCACTCTCTACTGTCTCCAACCTCAACATCCCAGCTGTGAGAGCCTGAGTTAAAGCCCTCCGAGGCCAGGACACCGCAGAAAGAATCAAACCTCTCTGGATTATCAGGACGTTTCTGTCTCCCTCCTTCCATCACACTGGTCAGATCTTCAGACAGGATGAGTTCTGGATGAGCAGTGTTTGGGTCCAGAACAAGAGGGAAATAGGAGACCATGTAGCTCATCTTGCTCCAGATGTTAAAGGTGAGGTTGCCCAGGTGTTTGGCCTCGTCTATCAGAGCTCCTGGGGGCAGCTGTGGATCCTCCAGCAGGGGGCGCTGCAGCCTCTCCACTGCAGCCTGGTAGTTGTTCAGGAAGGAGGCGTGGTCAGCTTTCATCTCTTCCTCTGTGGCCCTGAGTGTGTGAGAAAGAGCTGCTATCTCTCTGCTCACAGCCTCCATCTTCCCCTCTATCACCCGACTCTTCTGCTCCTCTTCCTCCCTCAGTGCAGCCATCCTGGCCCCCTCTTCCTCTTCTAGAAACTGGTGAAGCTTCTGAAATTGCTCCTTAATCTGCGTCTCTGTGCGTCTGGCCTGGACCTTCAGGTGTTCTGCTGTTCCATCAAACTCCTCTTTAGCCTTTTCAAAAGCATCTAACTTCTTCCTAAAGGGTTTCAGAGTGTTCTGAAGTTCCATCCTGTGTTGTCGCGCAGCTTCATCGATGGGTCTGAAGCTGTGGTTAATGTGTTTTTCTGAATCTCTGCAGACGACACACACCGGCTGCCTATGGTCCAGACAGAAGAGTTTGAGTTTCTCAGAGTGCAGATTGCAGAGAGCCTCTGAAGCGTTCTCATCTCTCTCCCTTTGAAAGGCCTCACAGAGGTTCTTTAACACCAGGTTACAGGGAGGTGTTCCCCTCGATGACCTTCTCTTGCATAGTGGGCACTCACGTGTTATTTTCTCTCTCCACCAGTCCGTCAGGCAGCCTTTACAGAAGCTGTGGCTGCATGACAGGAGAACAGGGTCTCTAAAGATGTCCTGACAGACCGAACAGCAGAGATCCTCCTCTGATCTTGAAGCCATTCTCTCAGAGTGAAGCTGAACAATTAAACAGGACTCGCCTGTGCTTCCCTCCCTGCTGCAGTTACTTTCACTTTTAGTTTTTTTTCAGGGGTAAAAGTATTTTAAAGCTTAAAAATCCTTGCTGTAAACGTCCTCCCTCAGATGAATCCAGAGCTTTGTAAGGAAGGCAAATGTTACCGTTCGTCTGCCTGTCTGTCTGTCTGTCTGTCTGTCTGCCTGTCTGCCTGTCTGTCTGTCTGTCTGTCTGTCTGTCTGTCTGCCTGCCTGCCTGTCTGTCTGTACGTCTTTTCTCACTGAGAGTTAAACAGGAACAAACTAGTTTCCTGCTTCCTCTCAAGATTATGTAATATCAGGGGTGGAACTTTACTGGTAGGATTTATTTGAAAGGGAACAGATAGCCAAGTAACAAAGGTCGTATTCAGAAGAAACTTTTTTGAAATGCAGGAGTGGCTCTGAGAGCACCGTAGTCGACCAAAAAGTCAGAATAATAAAGCTTAGAAGGACAATAATATATATACAAATATGTCCCACATGTTTGTGTTTTCTGACTAGCTGAGAATAAATTCATTATAATTTGAAGGTTGACAGGAAACTGACACTCAGTGCGCCTTGATCTTTCTCCAACGTCTAGCACGTCTATTCTTCTATCCAATTTATGGCAGAATGTAATCCTTGATTTTGAGTTTACTTCTGCCACTTACTTTACTTTGCATTCAAGTCTTGTTACAGTGGACCTTCACAATAAAAGTCCTCTGCAACACACACGTTTTATTGGGGAGGGCCCCGGGAGAGGCGAATCTCGCCCATCTACTTCCGACCCATGGGACCTTATTTCGTAAAAAGTATGTATTGAAGTCAACGGGGAGAGAAAACGTATCTTTCGATCCCGTTTGAATTGTGCCACGAATTACACATATGATGTTTGTCAATCTTAAAAAATCATTTCCATGTCAAAAAATCACAGTTTGTCGTAAAACTGTTGAAATATAAGACTATGAAAAATACGCAACTAGAAAGACTACAAATCCCAGAATCCCGGTCCCGCATGCTGGCTCTTACGGACCGACTAACTCCCCTTGTGTGTATGCACAGCTCTCAACATGCCCAGACTTGGAGTGATTTTCATCTCTTTTAATACTTTTCGCCTCATTCTGAAAGAAAGAAGTGAAATGTTTCAACGTGACGGCCGTCTTGGTGTGTGGTGCGAGACGGGAGATGTAGGTCATTGAGCGGTTCACACAAAAAGTGTTACTTCACAGTTTTACGACTATTTTTTTGACTTGCAAAATTATCTTTTAAATTGACAAACATCATATGTGTAATTCGTGGCACAATTCAAACGGGATCGAAAGATAATCTTTCTCTCTCCATTGACTTCAATACATACTTTTTCCGAAATAAGGTCCCATGGAGCTCCCCGGAAAGGGAGGGACTTCGCCTCTTTATTGGGGAGGACCCCTGCAATACAAATCTGCAGATATGCACCTTATCTCTTACTGTACATGTGTGTGGTTCCCACCTTTAAACATCTCCATGGTGTCCAGGTTCCTCAGGACTCCTCGGGGAGATCTGGCAGCAAGGAGAGCCGCTTCCTCATACCGAGCCGAATCAAAGAGCTCAAGAAACCTGTCGGAGAGAGAAAGGTGATTCAGAGAGAGAGTCTGAGGAGTTCAGATAAACTGGTCAGGATTGGTCTGTGAAGGCAGCACCTGTCCAGGCGATCTGCCAGGAGAAGGGACTCGTCAACACCGGTCGGCTCTTCGTGCTCAAACAGTTCAGCGTTCATGCTGCAGCCGTCATCGTCTGTCACTGCAGGTTTAAGGTGTTAATATATTATAAATAATGTGAGACATTTTTATTTTGAGCGATGGCCAAGAAGGGACACAAGATTATAGCATTCTGAAATATCAATGCAGGGTTTGAGAAACAAGGTTAATTGTTGCAGAAATACCTTTTTGGAGCAGTAAAAACAGACGGAAATGATTTAATAAGTCATAAAATAACACTGAAACATTATGAGTTGTTGCCTGAAGAAGCAAAGAGACAATATTGAGATAAAATATGAGATGCTAATGGTTTTAAAATCCTCTAAACAAGTGTTTTTGTGTCTCACCGCTGGTCTGTCTGGCATCTTCCAGAGTGGAATCCAGAAGTTCCTCCAGAGAAACCTGCTGCTTCTCAAACTCCCAGCTGGACAGACGGTCGGACACTAACCTCAGACTCTTGTACCTGCACACAGACAGAAAACACAGAAACATGGTCATTCATTTGGAGAAAATCAACGACACAAGCCACCGTTGGTGAGTGAATGTGTGACGGCTGTGTGTGTTGATTTATATTAAGCAAAATGATGTATTCTCATGCTTTAAGTCCATGCTGTAAATAACTACGGACAGACACAAAATGACTAAAAACATGAACACAAAGATAGACAGAACAGCTACAAAGAGACAAATAAGTACAGAGAGACACAAAGTGACACAAACAGACACAAAATGAATGTGTTACAGTAAATGGTGCAAATGTAATCTTAAGAAGATCCATACGGACCCGTTGACAGTTCTTTACCTGGTCTTCAGTAGGTAGTTTTTGCTGCTCAGCTGGTCTCTGTGGAGCTCTGCAGCCTGCAGCTCAGCGTCCAGCCGGGCTTTGACCTCCAGAGAGACACCGTCACTCTTCCTCTCCAGGAGAGAAGCTCTCTGGGCTTCCAGATGCTCCAGGTGTCCATCCAGAGCCTCAGGATCCTCGGAGTCAGCTAACGTCAAACCTGGGACATGAGACATATGTGGGGTTTATTGTATCAACTCACGCTAATGGGCCTACAACATCTCCTGCAACAGATTGAGACTACGTTTACATTTAGCAGTCTTGATTTTCAACTGCAATCATCAGTTTCAGTAGTACCAGGTATCCATGTGCTCTGCTCTTCAGAGGATTTGTGTCTCTCCATCTCATCTTGAAGTTCTGCGGTTTCCCTCTGAATGACATAGATTCTGGAAAGAGCCAAAAGCATTCAGAGAGCAGCAGCTACATGACAATCCTTCATGCACATTTAATTGTCAAACATTGCCATTATATCAGGGATTGTTTTAAATAGTTAAAGGTAGGGTAGGTAAGAATGGAGAAACCAGCTCGAGTGCGCTAGAATTTGAAAGTACGCAGCCGAAAAAAATCTGCCCCTTCCTTCAGACTTCCTCACAGAGCCCCTAAGAGCTTTCCATGGAATATGACAAAAAGTATTTCTGAAGTGAATTACCTACCCCACCTTTAAGCATGATATTTGCTTCATTTAAGGTGTTTCTCAAGTTGATCATCCATCGTTTGAAACCACTCAGTTCAAATAACTAAAACAATTTATCATCACTTGTAGTTAGAAACTTTTCAGGGCTGTTATCTAAAGATTGAACCCTCACTGGCCTTTAGAAGAGTGAGAAGTGGACCAAACGCAGCACCCACCTCTCCCTCAGGTGGGCGGCTCGTCTCTGGCATGTCATCAGTGATATTGGATCTGACATTGAGGCCGCCATCCTCTGTTTAGCCGCCCTGAACTCATCCTCCCTTTTCTGCAGAGCCCGGACCACATTGTCGTACTCCGACTTTATGGTCAACAGGAGCCTCTTATAAGTCGTCGCTCGTCCAATCACCTGTCAGAAACAAGAGGACATCACAGTCACCAAGTGTCAGCAAGTGGCAATATAGTGTAGAAAATACTTAGATTGTAGAAAACATTCAGCATCTAAATATACTTAAAGCACCAAAAGTAAATCTACAGACTATGCAGAATCATTTATATTATTGTATTATAAATGTTGATGTGTGCAATACTCCAATGTTGCAGCTGGTAAATGATTAACACTTAAATCAGACTTTAGTTCCACCCTGGAGTAAATTCACAAGCTGCCCTGCAGTATACAAAGTCATTACAACTAGCTGCACCTTTACCAGCTTTGATAACACTTGAATGATCAATAATAATAAAACGTATCATATATTATTCTGAAATGGACCAATCTGCACAATGACTACTTTTACTATTTTAAGTATTGTGTTATGCTAATACGTATGTACTTTTTCTTGAGTAACCTTTTGAATGCAGGACTTATACTTGTAACACAGTACACTCTGGTAGTTTTACCCAAGTACAAGATCTGAGTACTTCATCTGCCATCACCTTATTAAATACATGGCGGTAGACGATGTACCGCAGTTCATCAGGTCCCTGTTGTTGGCACTGTATATACAGTTTCTCCCGCTCTATAAACTCCTCCAGAGACCTAAAAAAACGTTCATCACTCTCAGAAATCAATATGTCCGGAGTTGAACTTCGTTCGTCTGTTCGTGAAGAAGACCTGCTGTAGCTTTGAGTCTCAGACATTGTTAGTTACCTTTCTGTTTACAACTCCCTTTGTAGCTATGGTTACCGCGAAAGTGTACCTGGGAAAGTGTGTTTTCAGAGAGATTTCATCGCTCTCTTTCAAGACGAATAACTATTTAATATGGAGGATGAAGTGTGACGGAAATAAAACGTTAAACGACCATGTATATTTGCTTTCGCTAACTTCCCATCTCCAAATTCCACCTTGCTGCTTTGAGGCATTGCTATGGATACCGCGAAAGTTTACCTGGGAAATTGTGTTTATGTGAAAAATAAAATATTTAGTCGTTTTATTATTTAAATATATGCCGAAATAGACATAAAAGGGACAATAAAACGAATCACAACAAAATAAAAAGACTCTTTTACGATAGTAAATTGGTAAACGGACAAATCGTATATCTTATAGGCCTATCTAATAATTTTAGATATTTGTGGGCAAGAATGTGGTGGCTAACTTTCTGACTGCCATCTTACTTTTCGACCACGTTGCCATGGTTATCGCGAAAGGTCACATGGGAAATGAAGTTTTATTTTTTTTATTTCAATTTTTGCTTTCAGATTGTATTCCTTTATGCTTATGAATACAGATAAATACGCGTTGTGATAAAGCAATTATTTCAATGTTATCACTGATTAATCTGACTAAAAATACGAACACATTTGAACACGTTTCGATATTTTTGATCAGGCACTGTCAACGGGTGTTCCCAACCCGTGGAAATGCGGGCTGAAAACCCCGTCGCCTGCTCTGGAAGACCTCTTCTCATGATCCGCCATTAGGAGTGAGCCTCTGGTAAGATTAGCTCTCAGTCAAAACCTAATTATTATCACAAAATAACACTTTTAAGAAGCATATTTCAGTTCCTACGAAATATTTAAAGTCTTGTGTGTTTCCCCGTACAGCTGGGTATAACGCCAGGATGCAGATTTTCGTCAAAACCCTCACGGGTAAGACCATAACCCTCGAGGTGAGTGCACGGAGAAAATGCGGCGTTTTCTGTCTCCAGGTTTTACCATGTTTAAGTCAAATTAGGCGGATAATTCAACATTTAATTGAACCTTTAAGTACTCAGGTTGGCTACTAAGTTCATTGGGTGTGTTTTTAAACCCAATAACAGTCG